TGTAGTTGAGTGATTGCAGCGCGATACCGGAGCCTCTTAAAAGGGTAATAGATATATGCCCCCCCCCCCGCCCCCCGGTCACAGCCGGTAAGTTTAAAGTACACTTCTGCACGTTATTGCAGGTCCCTTTCCAAATGTACACTGACAGGAGGAACCTAAACAGTCTTACAGTCTCTCTACACCTACAGTGAGCCATGCATTGTTCCTGTAAAGCCACGGAAAATATAGGGAATGTTTCTCCGGCTGCAGACACAACTTCCTAAAGCACCTGTACGGTTTAAATTTTACTGATGTGTCAACTATCTCAGAAGAGAGACCTCCAGTTTTAGAAACCATGAGTTACAGAGTAAGGATTAATTTATTTATATAGAAACTAAAGCTATCCCTGTAACAGGCCGCGGAGGTTCATAAGGTTGTGAGACGTCGAGGCTCCCACATTTTCTAGATAATCGGTTCACAGATGGCGGTGAAGCTGTCGTGATATTCGTGGTACTCCTTTCTGATAGAGGCTTAGTCGACCTCAGGGCCATAGTGCCGCTGGAAAGATCAGGTCAATTGAAAAACCCAGTGACCTTATCGGTAGTTGACACCGCGACTTTCCTGTATGTAGCATAGTGCCTCAACCAACTACGCCACCGTGTGTCCCCTGTTTATTTATATTTAGTATGATTTTTTAAAGGGGCACGCGGTAGCGTAGTTGGTTGAGGCACTATGCTACAAACCGGAAAGTAGAGGGACCGAATCTCGATGAGGTGGATTATTTTCAATTTACCTAATCCTTCAAGCCGCACTATGGCTCTGTGCTCAACTCAGTCTCTAACAGAAATGAGTACCAGAAATATTCCTGGGGGTAAAGGCGGCCGGCGCATAAGGCTGACACCCGCAGCGCCTTCTGTGAGACGATTGTCTAGAAGATGTGGGAACCTCAACATCTCACAACCCAATGGGCCTCCACGGCCTGTTACAAGGATACCTTTAATTTTTTACTTTACTATAATTTTTGTAAATAATCAACTCTTATTTCCATAAACGACATCAACCGATGGCTTTACAAGCCCAATGCAGGCGTACTGTCTGTACTCTGCGCTGTACTATACTGTACTGTGAGTTAGGAACGGAATTTGTAATTTTATTTACAGGAAGTTCATGCTTCAAAAGCTTAATCTGAATTATCTTCTTTTTATGGCACTGAAATCTGGTTTCGATACGGTAGGAGAACTCCGTGGGACGTATAGAGCTTAGGGAACACGATATTACATACATATGTTCTAGAGGTCGTTGTACTTGACGACATGGGCGAGATAACAGCGCGTAGTCTGTTTCTCTTTTCCGAAGAATAGTGAATTTTATGTGCTTTTTGTATTTTTCCTGATCCCAGATACCTGAAACAGAATTCTAAAATATTCCTGCTTCATACTTGTTTCCCTGACAGATAATTTTGATATTTTCTCTTTCTTTCATGTTTTTTAAACTGTTTGATTGTCATATTTTGTATGTTGAACATGGAGGCAATACATTCATTCGAAACGTCACTACGTCCTATTTGACTACGCGACCTCACATCTCCGCTATGAGGATCTGAAATTCGCACTCCCATTGGTTCCGTCTGAACCCCAGTCTGTATTTTCCCTTCACTCTATCTCAATGAGACCGCGGCCCGGATTTTTTTTTTTCTATAAGACAAAGTCCGGTATAATTGATGCCGGGACCCAGTACGGGGTCGCGGCCCGGCGGTTGAGAAACACTGGTCTAAATCACTGGGGGTATTTTTGTGCGGGAATTACTCTTCTACCAGGAGGATAAAGGCAGAAGTTTGCTCTCAAACTTTGGTACGTATCTACCAGACTACACGGCATCATTTGGCAGAAGACAGTGATATTGTCACGTGAAGGAGAGACTGTAGACGGGATTTCGGATTTGTGACTCGATTGCTTGACTATTTATACACCCGATTTGTGACTACAATTTACAGTTCACTGTTACACACACTAGTGTTCTGAGTCTGTTAAAATCTCCACTACTCGTTGACTGCGAACGGATCATACCGATGAAGATTCTTCAGCTTCCGTGTTCATATCCTTGCCTGCTGCAAATATGATACAACTGACTCATTCCTGCAACTGTCCTGGGTATAACATCTCAGCACGGACCACACAGGAAACACCGGCCATATGCTGCTGTTTGATTGCTGCTTATTAACAATCTGTTGCCTAGCAGCGGGCAGTGTTTCGTTGTTTGTTTCGCTGCCGTTACCTAGCAACGGATATCTATGTGCTATGATATTATAGTTACTGCCTTGAGAACCTCAAGTCTTATACACGGTGTTTCACGATTTTAGGGCATAACTGCAGGAGGTGATTTCCTAGGTCTTTGTGATCAAAAAAGTTCATATAAACATGCGTCCGATTTTGGACGGTTACGGAGTTATGACCGTTTTTTCATTCCCGTACACGCCCTCGTGTGAACCGTGTCTGTCAGTTGGCGGGTCGCTATTTTTAGCCAGCTACAGACAGGGCGTTCTCGTTATCTCGACACTTGAGAGGTACCTAAGGCGGGGTGGGTTTGTATATCCGGCGCGGTTCACAACCGAGCGGCAGCCTATGTTGCCGCCGGCTGTGGCATTTTCGAAAATCAGCTTTAAGCACCAATCAATTCAAATTAAAGGCAATTTCAGGAAGTTAACTTTACATTCATACTTTAAATGTATCATGTATTATGCTGGTTTATTGTTTTGTTCCTTTTATTGTCAGTAATCGTTACCTTCTGTTCTGAGTTTAAAACGGTCATAACTCCGTAACCGTCAAAAATCGGACACATGTTTATATGAACTTTTTTGATCACAAAGACCTAGGAAATCACCTCCTGCAGTTATGTCCTAAAGTCGTGAAACACTCTGTATAATCTCATGCGTATCACAAAGATCTACATTAGACAAGAAGTTCTGGGAAGACCTAATGACTAACTTTCCTTACAATACCAATTGACTATTTGATACGACAGTTTGAGATGCTGCAGTTTTGGTTTTACTAATAAGAAGGTAAAGCTATTCCTGTTACTGGCCGTGAAAACTCACAGATTTGTGAGACGTCGAGGCTCCCCCATTTTCTCTACACAGTTTGCTCACAGATGGCGTCAGGTTGTCAGCTTTACGTGCAGGCCGCCCTTTACCCCCCAGTAAGATTCGCGGTACTCATTTCTGTTACAGGCTGAATTGACCTGAGGACCACAATGTGGCTAGAAGGATTAGGTCAGTTGGAAAAAGTCCACCTCATCGGGACTCGAAACTGCGACTTCCGGCTTGTAGCATAGTGCCTCAACAAACTACGCTACCGCGTGCCCCCGTTTGGTATTACTGATGGGAGCGATTTATTAAGTACGCCTTTGAGATTGCCTCTGGTGGC